CTGAAGTATGTCCGTAAAAGAAGAAATTTGCGGATTGGAGTTCTCCGTAGAGATCCAAAATGTTTTGGGGGGCGTTTCGCGTCGCCACAGGGTCACGGATCGCGCAAAAGCGAGTCGAAAAATAAATCGGAGACACGTGTGAGGGGTAGCGAGTATTGTTAATTATCCGTGCGGGGCTGTACAGGGTGTAAAAAATGGTCTTCGCCTTGTACTGTCTACGATAGCCGCGAGAAAACCTTTTCTTTTACACTTTGTACACGCGCGACAGTGAATTCGTACGCGTTAACACGTTGACCGGCCTGCGGAAATCGAATACATTAAAATTATGCTTTGCCTAAAGGAATCCGTGAACTTTTGGTAAGCAAGTTAAGAAAATACACTATTAACGGCGTTGATGAAAAAATGAGAGAATAAAAGTCTTCGGTACAGTGTGATGTGTAATCGTTTACTATAAAACACTGTTACAGATTATGTTTTAAAGGCCCTGGTAATCATCGAGGCGGCGGTGAACGTGTTAATCACGACGGGAAAAGAGGAGGAAGCGGTCCCGAGGTCGTTCGATGCTCGGGTACCGTGATCCATTCGTGTTCGCCGCAGATACCTTAAATTTCTCTTGATCCTTAAATTCGCACGATATAAAATCCTAGCTTAGTATGGCCGGTAATCTGTTTCACTTGCGTTCTCGTCTTTCTCTCTCAATCGGGTCACTTTCACCACTTCATCCCCTCGATTCTCTTTTCCCCCATTTTCTTCAATCATAACCCCCATTACTTACGTCGTACGAGTAGTTTTATTTTATTTTATTTTTATTTTTTTTTTGTTATATTTATCGGCAATCGGTAAATAGATAACCGCAAGCTTACGCCTATCCTCAATTTATAAATTAGTGTTTGTGTTATGTACGTGTGTAGCATATAGCGCCGAAGATTCTCGACCGTTTAACGACCATATTCTCTTCTTTTATTACCTCGCTCGCGTTACACTCTTTCCCTTGCTTACGGTCGCTAGTGTTTCTCGTTTATTTAGTATTGCAAAGCTCGTTTCGCAACATACGATCTCGTACCTTCCCTTTATTCCTATCTTTCTACGAATTATGCGCGCGAGGGATGCTGTCCGTTCAACGATTACAGCGCCTTGTTTATTTTCTACCTGCAAGCTTCTTAATGGAATGCTGTTATACAAATACGGGATATCGAATCCGTAAAAACGACTAACTCTAATCGCCTATCGATCCAGGCTTGATCCATTTTTTTCTCTATCTACACCGTTCGCGTTGTTCGTCGATCTCGTTTCATCGCCGACAAATCTTGGATTCCCGCGCGCGGAAACCGAGAACCGAACGATTCCCTCTCGAATCCACATTACGTAACGAACGTGACCGCCGTCGCGATGCTCTACGTCACTTTCTGTTGTAATCGCGATTTTTCGTAATACCCTGTGCGATACAAGAAAATTACACGAGCAAACGGGATCGTTGGTCGATCAAACCGTACGACTAGAAAAAGAATTGTGATACATATCTAGGAACGAGCCGCTCCGATGCACGGATATCGTACGTACGTACCTAAAGCGAGAGCGATCCGGGACCAACGAGACTTCGAAATTGCAACTTTTTTATTCGAGCGAACATTTACGGAACGAATCCTCTCGCCTACGTCTAATTAGCCGCAACAACATTAACGCGTCTCCTTGACTGCCGGTAAGACTCTTCGGATCGAAATAGCCAGAACGATTTGCTTTTACGTTTTTGGATTTTCTTGCCAAACGCCTGAACAACGAAAACGCAAAACGAAGTGTTTTCTGGAGCTAGATTCGTCTCGTTGTCGAACAACGTTTTCACCCGTGCGAATTGTTTCCGATAGATAATTAATTACGAAACAAAATTAACCCAGAGTTCGAGGATCGAGCTGTTTGATAACACGCTTTCTCAGCTGTGCTCTTTTGGCAGTTTTCTTTCGCGCAAAACGGACCCGCAGAGTTGGGCAAAGTACGATCTGACGTGTTTTTTTAATTATTACGATTTTTTAAGGAGACTATCACTCGTTACTAGTCGAATAAATGATTCTAACTTTGTTTGAGACCCATCGTTCGATAAACTCTTTGCAAATGTAACGAATCAAAAAAAGTAAATTAAAGAGTCGAGAAACGATGCCAGAGATTGATCGGTGAAATGTTGGAAACGTTCAGACAATTCCTGTGGATACAACGGTTTAACATTGCAGAGCGTAGCTCGTTCGTTGTATTTCTGGATCGAAAACAGTCTTGGCGAAGATTCTTACGATCGGCAGGATTCGACTTTGGTTACATTTATAACGAGCCTTTTTGTTAAAAATCGATGCTAATCGCGCTTACAATGCGTTCGCTGTTCCACTAAGAAGCTGGGACAATTCTCGAGATATGTCTCTCTCTTTCTCTCTGTCTCTGTGTATACTTGTGTGTGTGTGGGTGTGTGTACGTGTTGCGTGTCGAGAACAACGTGTTACGATAAGTATACTCTTTTATCGCTTAACTTGATATTCTACGGTTAGAAACTCCTAGACTCTAGTTTTTCCCCGCCAATGACTCGATTTTTCCTTCGTTTCCTCTATCTTTTCCCCCTCTCTCAAGCAGACAAGAAGCCGTACGCTCGTAACTGAAACCTACTTATTTATACGTGTACGCATGAAATGTACATATATACGTGTACATGTATATATGTACATTTAATTTATTCATTTATTTATATATATATATATATATATTTATATATATATTTATATTCGTATTTATATTTTTATATTAGTCTTTCGAAATGTTTTCCTCGTGCGTGCAAAAAATAAATCTCTCGACGCGATCGCTGCGTCGCGAGTGAATTTTCTTTTATTTTTAAACTCGTTTCGTCTCCCGTTTAGTGTCTTTGATCGTTCCTCCCGCGCGAAAGTTACGGTAACGCCGAGGGGCACACCCTCGATCGCTCTTGTTCGTGAAAATCGTCTATCCACGACGATACTGCTAGGAAATAAGGAACCGTCTCTGGCATTTCAACGTCGCGCTCTAAACGCGATAGCAAGATCGACGATACGAAGATTCGTTCGTCCCTCGAGGGTCCGGACCGTTTCAATTTATCCGCGAGCTTTTTCTTTCCTCCACGTTAAAAGAAAATTTGAATTTCCTGTTGGGTGAGTGAGTGTGAATCCCGCGGGCTGAGAATGGAAATGCGTCCGGTCGCTTTGGTTCACTTTACCACTAAATACGCCTGAAAGTTTCTACGTTTATTGCGGGGAGGGTGTAAAAATAGCGTTGCTGAAAACGTCGATCCGTCGCGCTGCTCCGATGTTTCCATTCTCATCCCCGCACGGATCGGCGGGAAGCTGCGTTTACGAAAAAATTCAACTTTTCCTTTTAATCGTTTTAGTTAGTCGCGCGTTGCTTAACTGCTCGATTAAGGCGGCTTGGGATCGAGTATGGCGTATTCTCGCGTATAAGGCATATCCGGCTGTTCGCTGTTCGCAATAAAACGTCGATCCTCCAACGCGAACAGAGAAACGATTCTTCCAAATCGGTTTTCTCGTCCGAATAATTCTATCTAATTTTTTAATTTCTCCAATTAATTTCAAGCAGGCAAACGATCTCGGAAAATATATTTTATCGAGGTTAATAAATACCAGATATATTTGTTAGACCTCGATACGGGAAAAAGAGAGATTACATGTATGTGTATCGTATTATACACGAAACGCAAGCTTTCACCGTCGAATATCCGCTTAAACAGGGATCAGAAATAAAATTTCCAAATCGATTGGTGTTTCATTCGTCGACGTTCGGATAATCGACGTTTTACCGTGTTTCGATTTCTGAAACAACGAGAATAATCGAGGAGACAGTTCGAGCCCATGAATCAGAATCGTTCACGATCGAATTTTTGAAACTTAACACGCGCGTGCAACAAAATTTTCTAAAGGATCGCGTGTAGGAGACCTCCGCGCGACGAGACTTGCCTCGATGCCTGGCGACTAGCGATGGGTTCGATACCGTTTTCGAAATTAGTTCGAGCCTCTAATTTCTGTACGTGTACAGTGTCCAACCGTGTTTACGAATCAGCCTCGTATAAAATTACGATTCTAAACGGTTCGAAACCCATCGCTGATCGCGAGATATACTTTGAGACGAGTCTCGTCGTTGAAATCAGGGCTGCTGAACTTATTCCCTCGGCGATCACTCTGGGATCTCGCGTACAGAGCCTGTACAAATTGGACCAGATAAATTCTATGCAAGATATTCGAGGGGATTCGACAGCCCTGATCCAGAGGCTCGTTAACGATGCAATTAATCGATGCCTATAACAAACAAAACCCCCTTGTCGAGAAGCGGGAATAATTCTAAAACTTAAAAATCCGGAGAGGTTAAATAAAAAAAAAAGTGGTATTTATCGGATGCAAGGCGAGCGAAACTTTCGTCAAGTTGTCGACGAGACTTGGTCGTCGGTTTAAAAAAATACCAATGCGAAACTTTGGCCACTCTTCCAAACGGAAGTCAAGGCTGTTTGGCGGCGATGAACTTCCGCTTGAACAGACAAATGCACTTGGCCGATAAGAACAATCGTACCGCGTCGAAATAACGAGGGAAACGTTGGAATAAATCGTGACTTTGAATACGGATTGTTACATTTACGAACGGGGGGGTGAACGAAACCTTTTTTAAACACCGTACGACTGATCTTATCGACCGATGTATGTTCCTTTGTTTATGGGATATATTATATATATGTATATATTTAAGGCGCGAATAGAAAAATACGCAAAGATTGATTTTCACTTAACTTCTCCGGCCTTAAGGATAGGCGCGATCCCGCGACGGTCGATTGCCAGTAATTCTCAAGATAAAATTTAGAAATCACGGTACGTGCTTTCGTAGCATTTATTTACACCGAACTCAATCTCGAAATCATACTCGGCAAAGATCAACAACGAAGAAGTAAGAGAGAAATAAATTCGAATCGCGTGTAAAAAAGTGCTGGAAAGATATGAAATTTCGTGATTTTACGCGAAAGATCGTCGTAGGATCGGCCGGCCTTGACTGTTCTTTCGTCGTTTATACGCTAGGTGAACAAAACGGCTAATTGGCGGTACACAACAGGATAATACGTACCAATTAAAACACTCTTGCAACGACACGATCCGGCGGTGTACACCGACATCACTATTGCACTATAAATTTGCGTACGCGAATACGAACGCGATCATCACTGGAAAACGGAATGCGAAAGACGAACGATCCACACGGTCGCGGCACACACGTTTCCCCCGTCGGTTTCCGGTCGGGCCATTCTTTGTGCACGAGACGCCACCGGTAGTCGAGTTTTAGGTCTTCGTGGCTCCGGAAACGCGTGGACTCAGCCTCGTTGCGAATCAGTTGCGTGTTCTCTCGCAAACGTTTCCCACCGATTTTCTCAGTCTTGTTTCGCTCAGAGGCGAATCGCTAGGTCCGCCAGCTCGTTCCCCTCGTTAGTCCTCCGGCGAAAGCTTCTTCGAACAACGAACGAACGAACGATCCTCGATAACGGAGCTCTCCACCTCGCGTTCGAAAGAACTTCGTCGGATCGGTTTCCATCGAAAGTTTCATTTTAGTTGTCGGTCGAAGCATCGTTTCAGGATTCTCCTCGTTTCCCGTCCCCCGTACCCGTGTCCCCGGCCGGCGTCGATGGCGACCATGGATCGCCTCTGCCGTGCAGGCTACATAGATATTCACCAGAATCTCTGAGCGCTGTCCCACAGATTCTTCAGGCTGGATCGAAACTCGAAACGAAAGTTCTGGTAGTATCACGCTATGTTGTTGCCGCTCATCGTCGTCACGCATTTCTTCTCCGGCGTGTTCTGGCTCTCCGAGTTGCTGCGCACCGCCTTCGTCGGACTTCCGGGCGTAGGCGTCGCGTCCCCCGGTAACGGATTATTGTTGTTCGTCGACGTCGAACTGCGCCGGCCGTTCTCCCGCGTCGGTGATTTCACGTCGAACACGGACGTGTCGGACTCCATGTCCGAGTCGATCTGCAATTTCACGTTTCAATTAGATATTTCTCTTTCATTTTATATGCATACACTTGGAATGAAAAGCCCCGGGCCTCGTACAGAAATGTCGCGGCTAATATCGAATCGCGTACATCATCCTTGGGAACCATACTTTAGAGGTGATTAGTTCGTACTCTCCAGATCTGTCCCCCAGCGATTATTATTTGTTTCCAAACTTGAAAAGGTTCTTCCAGAGAAAGAAATTTGGAGGACCGCTGAGTTAAGTGTATACCGAAGAATAAGAACGTTTTTACGGCAAAAAATTGATCGTTTCCTTGTCAGGCCCGGGACTTTCCGTTCCATGTAGTATGCAAATAGGGTGAACAGCTTGTACGAATAGCGAGGAACGGGTACGATGAATGAAATTGTGACGTCGATGACACGGAGATGAAAGATGATGCGCTACCTTGTTGAAACAGACTACCTGTCTGGTAGCTGGATGGGGGCTGACGAAGAGTCGTTCGCTGGTGTCGCTTCCGCAGCTGGAACTTTCGCTCATTTCCGTGGCGAATTTCCGCGAGGCACGTGGACTCGGCGGCGCCGCTCTGCTCTGGCCCCCTAAGCTTATCCCTACGTTTCGCGAGCAAACCTGCGACTGAATGTGCTCGCAGACCCTCCTAAATCTTCGTATATTCCCTGAAAAATCAGACAAAATTGTCCATTTATACAGTCACGTGGTATTAACGGTGGGAAAGAGCAACAGAGAGCAGACGTTGCGTAAAACAATTGTTCGCGAGAATAAAAAGTTTGAATGCAATAAATGCGACGGCAGGGCGTGAACACGAAGTTCGACCCGAGATTATACGCGCGCGTACATGCGGAGAAGACGTAAGGTTCGACTTGCCAAGGTAACATCGATCTAGTTGCGCTTGGAAGGTTGCCAAATGCTAAACGCCACCACCTTACGATCTACCGTTGTCCGTGGTTTGCTTCCGAGGGTGCTTTGTACCTCGAGCTTTTTTTTTGTCGATGCTCGGGACGCGTATCTCGGAAACATTCGTCCCTCGGAGACGCCAGGAACGTTTTTTCGAGCGCGACAATTACGTCGGAAATTGATATCGAAGACGAACGTGTCCCCGGTGGAGAGTTACAAAATACTGTGTAAAATACTCACCGCTCAGCAGAGTAAAAGTAATGGCGAACAACGGTTCGTTCGGTTGTTTAGAAATGGTACTGATGTCGACTTGGAAGCGGACCTGTCGTTGGAACATCGCCGGTGCCGTGCTTCCCCTTTTGTATTCCACTCTGAAGGACATAGGCGAGCTCACGCTGTGAGACAACTCCGCTATCTGTCGATCGAACCTTTTCGTTTTTATGCGCGCCATAATCGAGTAAGCGATCGTTTGGCACTCACCGATAAAAAAGCGTGAATCAAATCAGCCTTTACGCTGGCCAAGATCTTCCCCTTTACGAGAATGGTGAACGTTTCGTCCTTCTCCGTGGTCAACAGGCTACCGAACCACGATTTCTTCGTGAGTTCCGGGGACGAATCTGGCGTGAGGTGTACCTGCGATTAAGATCAGATCGTACCGTGACTCGCGTTCGTTCTTCTTGCACGAGGATTAAATTTTTAAATAATTTATGGGGAATCAGGGTTCGATATTTTTTTGGTTCTTACGTAACTGATTTCAACCCTTGATATACAGGGATGCGGGTACGTACCTCCTCGGTACTTGTGAGCAGCTTGCGACGATGAAATCGAGGACTACCCAGGAACGAATTCTTGATGGTGGTCAGCCTGGATCTCCAGTGATGGGCGCCAGAACCAGCTCCGGTGTGCGGCGATCCCGGCGGCGTAACACCGACCGCGACTACTGCGAAATCAACCGTTTTTTACGACTAACACAGCAGCGGTAATTGGTAAGCAGAAGTCATCCGAATATACCCAAACGAGCATCGTGTATCGTAACGCGAGAAGCGTTATTTAGAGCGTAACGTTAGAAGGTATCGTTTTAATAAATTAATAACAAGTTACAGCGATCGCGGCGTCGATCGATCGATCGTCCGGGCTGCGGCGTCGGTTTGCCGTGTGCAGCTTGAAACGAGAGCCAAGAAACGGTCGAACGCGTCGCATTGTCCCGAACAAAAGAGACGTATTTCCCGAAAGTCGGGGAAAATAAAGAAGAAAGAAGGAAAAGGAGCACGCAGGGACTTTGAGCGACGGATGGAGGCGCATCCAGCTGCATTAGTCCCTTTAGCGATGATTCGCGAGCGGGTGTGTGTGCTCGTTACTCGTCGTGTGCCGTGAGCACCGAGGTCAGTTGCATTTTTTAAAACCGTCCCAGCTAGCCCAGCAGCCCCTTGAAAATGCGTGCTCAGACATCGACGAGGGTTCCCGATTACCAAAGCCTTTGTTCCGGCTCTGTAAACACTACGGACGCGTGCTTCTTCGCTCGAGAAATTTTCTGGACAGTCGAACCGGTATTTGTCTCGTCGTAATTTTTACGCGATAAAACTGCACGTTTTGAATATTAATTTAATGGTTTTCGAGCCGAAGGGAGGGACCGCCGCGTGTTAGAGAGAAGTAGGTATTCGACTCACCCTGTTGAACATCGTTTATTTCGATTCCCACACTGGCCAGAGCGGGTACTGGAGCGACGACCGGCGGATTGGTCGTGTTTCCGTTGCCAGCGGCGGTTGTGATCGCGGAGAGCCTCTGAGGGCTTCCCGTCTGGGTCAGGTGAGAGGTCGGTGGTGCCCTGTGAGGACTCAGGAGTCCGGCGAAGGCATTCGAGCCGTGCAACGGCGAACTTCCCGGCGTCGAGGCGTGCGATTGCGACGCGTGCGTGTGGCACCCTGTGCTTGGCGATCGACGCGCGTGGTTCCTCGTGCTGCGAACATTTCACCCATTTTTTAGCCTGATCGAAACGCGCACAGTGGCAAGGAATCCCTAAAAAGCTTGGTCGAACCATACTCCGGACGTTCTGGTCTCTAATTCTTTCGTTTCGTAATATAATTAACGAGCGTAAAAATGGATAGGCCATTAATAGATCGGCGGTGAAGCTCCCGGTTAAAAGCACAGTTCGATCGATTGCTCGGATGAACAGAGAGGTTCGTCGCGGCTTAATGTAAGACGGTTTTAATCGACTGGCCGTCGAGAGCTAATCGTCCGCATAGAAAAGAGTAGGGGAGCGCACGCGACACGTTCAGAGAGTGCTATGCCGTTGTCACGCGATCGGGAGTACTCGACGAAGCCTACGGATAGCTTACAAGACTATTCACCAGGCCGTTTAACCGCTTTGCAACTCGGAACTTACCAGGACTTCCTCCTGGGGGTCAAAGGAGACCCGTAGCTGATTTCCCCGAGATTGAGGGCAGTGCTTCCGTTTACTCGACACGTGTCCACTCGTTTCCTCGGAGGATCCGCCTCCGATTGTCCCGCGGTTCCCCTCGTGCCGCTTCTCATCACTTCCAGCTCGTCCTCGCACGCCGGTCTTCTTCGTTTCCTCTCGAGCAACAGGAAGTAAATCACCTTCTCCGTGTTGTGGCTGCGTTGGACAAATCGCGGGATTTATTTACGAACCGTTATCGCTAAAATGCGTGATCTTACTACTGGCTGAGGAGCTCCTGAATAAGTTTGTCCCGTTCCTTGAAGCAGCCTAGGCTCGCAATCGCCTGCAACACGTCCGGATCGATCGCGTCCACGGACGGAATAACGTGCGTCTGCACCACGTCCATCATCGACAGTTCTAACTCTAATTCGCCCTTGCCCGCCGCTGTCACCCACACGTGCCTGTTTATCTCCGCCAGCTGCGGATACGTATCGGTTGGTCTCGATTTATTAGCTCGTGCACAGCGTTCTCTGTCTTACCGTTAGTCTCTTGTCCGGGTCGACCTCGATCATCCCTTTGAGCAGATTTTGGCACTCCGGCGGCACGAAATGCGGTATGTAAAACACGCCGCGTTTCACCTTCTCCAGCAGCTTTCTCAGGTTGTCGTCGTCGAAGGGCAACGCGCCTACCAGAAGCGCGTAAAGTATCACCCCGCACGACCAAACGTCCGCCTTCCTGCCGTCGTATTTCTCGCCCTGCGAACGCGCAATCCTTCCATATTTTTTTCCGTTCCCTTTTATCTTCCGCTTTAATTAAATTCCCCGCGAAATAATAAATCGTCGCGGTTCCTCAACGCGCCGCGGAGGAATACGACCGTTCTCGAATTCAAATCGGTCAACGCGCGTTTGGGTGCTCGATTTAGTCGGATCGAAGATCGATTCTTACTCGAATAACTTCGGGGCAGGCGTAATGAGGAGAGCCGCAGCTGGTTTCCAGCATGGAGCCGGCTGGTTGCAGCGACGCCATGCCGAAATCCGCGATCTTAATGTTGTTCTTCTCGTCCAGCAGCAAATTTTCAGGCTTCAAGTCTCGATGACTGGAAAATGAGAATCGCGATTCGATTACGTGCACGCGCGGGTAACGGATTAGCCTAGTCGCGTAACGAGGGGTGAGCTAATTTCGATGCTCGATCGATCGGGAGCTAAATTAGGTCCGTTTTTCTATTTATTCGATTGGGGTAGGTTTCCCTGTTGCAAGCGGTCGAGAACCCCTCTTGTTTTCTCTCGTCTCCCGTTATCGAGTCGTCGAACGCGTCGCGAAATTAACTAGAAGGAATTCGCCATATTTCTTCGCCGAATCGAGGCAAGAAGAGAACCTTGAAAGCAAGTCGATGGATCAACTTTCCCTCTAATACGCTCTCCGCTAGTTCTATGTAAGCACAAACTACGTTAAGTCGGATACTTTTGCGAGTTTCTCGAGACTGTATAAACGACCGTCGTGTACAGGGTGATCCAGAATAGGATAATGTTAACGGTTAATCGTTAGGTTACTCACCATATACTATGACTATGGCAAAAATCTAACGCGGAAATGATTTGTCGAAAAAATCTCCTTGCTTCCTTTGGCGTTAGTCTACTCTTTTTCACTAAATAGTCGAAAAGCTCCCCTCCCGAAACGTGTTCCAGAACAAGATATCTGAAAGGAAAAAGTGCAATTTCAGTCGGTTGGCATTCGTATTTTTTCAACCGTGCATTTCCCTGTCCGCCACCGTGAGTAATGGGACCCCGAGTAAAACACTTTTGTCTAGCGCGTGGAATTCGCTGCGTTTTTTCTTTCTCTTTACGACCAATTTTCTTTTTTTTTTTTGTCTTCACAGTGCAACGGATACGTTCGCCTCTTTTCGAGCCGAAAAAATAAAGGTTCAACGGACTCCTCGAGGTCGACGATCGGTCGAACTTTGTCCGGGAACGTAAAAATAAAGATAACTGCGTTTACTCACAAGTATTTCTTGTTCTCGTACACGTCGGAGAGGCCAAGCACGTGAGGATGGTCGATCAGTTTCATAATCGCGATCTCTCGCTCTACTTTCATCAGCACGGAATCCGACAGCTTTTCCCTGTTGATGATCTTGATCGCTACCTTCTTGCCCAACACGCAGTGGACCCCAAGCTTGACCAATCCTGAAGCAAACAGAAGGATTCCGTTCGTCCAACACGCTTGTATTTTAGTTCGAAGCCTGCAGAACGAATAAACTTTTCTCGAATCGGACAGATCGCGTTTCCGTTTCCGTTTCCGTTTCTGTTTCGAGGCATCGAATCACCGCGAAGTAGTTCGGCTCAAGTAGTACAGTCGTTTCTCGCCGGACAATCTCGCGATAGAAAATTTGTAAAGGCTGGTTGAATAGGGTCGTGGCAAGTGGCGGTTCTTATACGGAGAACGGCTCGTTGCGTTTGCCCTGGATCAGCGCGATCGCTTTTTCTTTTCATGGTTCGCCTTTCGTAATTTCTTCTTTGTTGACAAATCTTTTTGCGTGCAAAATGGAAAGGGACACTCGACTCGCCGACCGTGAAAACCGTTTATTCCATTAAGCGAGGTTCCGTTTGTTTGCTCAAACAATACACCCCGTTTATCGATTGTCAGTCGGTTTATAGAGCAGGTTGTTTTCTATGTTTCGTTTTATTCGAGTCACTGTACTCTTTGTAGCTTTAAATACACTCGTTTTATTTGTTCTTTCTTTCATCGCGATAACGCGTTGGAAACAAAGTATCTTTTGGAATTGATCTCACGCGACGAAGAAAGTTTGGCGAATCGAACGAAACGAAAACGGCGAAGGGAATGGACAGGTTGTACGGGGTGGGACTGTGTTTGAGCTGACGGAGATCCTCTTGGAGGTCTTCCGAGTCGCTCTTCGGGGACATCGGAACGTGTACATACACTGCTACTTCGACGAGCAAACACACAGTGGCTTTACCCGAGTGGTTTCGAGTTCCTTCCACTTGGTAAATCGCGGAAAGTTTCCAACCAAGGACCTCCACGCCGTCTCGTCGAGTCCTTGTTAACATCATGCGCGACAACTCCGATCTAATTTTTGCGATTTCAACGGGAACGTTCCTATCCCGACGCAGATCGATCCTCGTTACGGACTGAAGGTAGCAAGAGTAAAAAGAGAAAGAATAATTTGTTGGGAACGGCTCGAGGGGGTTCGCGTGGGTTTTTGGCGGAAGCAAAGGCTCGAAACGTTTCGACCCTGGAACCCTCAATTACCGCTGTTTCTCCGCGTATTTACCTACTCTCGAGATATCAAACGACCACCCGGACTCGCTTGCAGGGCGCATAATTAATCCGCGAGTACGCCCTCGTCCGTAAAATCAGTTTTCAGTCGAGAGATACGTTGGTATTAAATACTGGTTGGAAGCAGTCGAGTGGCCCGTGTCGTGCTTAATTTTTGCTTTTCGAATGTACGCCGACTCGTGCTCTACAGCTCGAAAGTGTCCACGAGTGTTTCGCGATTACGCGGAGAACAGTATTTGTAATTCTAGCGTTCCCGTGGCTCGAAAGCAATTATTACACGAGCAGGACTTTTTCACTATTTTCCCGATCGAGCGTTGCTTCTGTTTCGACGATCAGAGATGAACTTTTCGATTTCCTCGTTAACGCTTTAATGGCTGCTCGTTTCGCATCTCGTGTATTTTAAATATACTTTGGACGAAACTATCGATCGTTATCAATGTTGAAATAAAGAAGAACCGTTGTCGCGGGGGTTGGGTTGAATTATCGAAGGTCTCGATCGAACGGATGGGGGTCCTTGGAGATTTAGAGCCGCGGCGCGTGCTATTCGTAACGGGCGAACAAAAGGAGAAAATATGATGAAAGAGATAGGAGAGAGCGGGAAAGAAAGCAGAATTTATAGGAGCGAGTAAATTGGCTTAAACCGTCGCCGAAGACCGCAGCGACGCGATGTCTTTATCCATTTAAAAACGGCCGTCGCAGACTCTTCCTACCTTTTGTTCCCTAAGTAGATAAACGAACAAAAATAAAAGAAAATGGTAAAAGAATCCGAGCTCGTTGCGCCGGCGATGGCGCAGAAGAATCGAGCGCCCTTCGTCGATTAATTAATCGAATGCCCTTTCCGCGAGGCAGCTTTTACGATTTTCCCGGTGATTACAATTCCTCTTCCAATTTATTGAGCATTTCATAACGCTCCAGACGATTTTCCTTTGTACCTGGTATACACGCCGTGCGTTCGTTACGACGATGCACCACGCTAACGGATTAAAACGTTTCTCGAACGCGATGAAAAATTTTTTGATAATTCACGCACGATTCGGCAACTATCGTTCGAGTCAACGGTACAAAAACACTGGAGATAGAAAAACGAAACGCAAGCAATTGTTTTTATTGTAAAGTAAACGTGAAACGACGTTAGACCACCATGATGGCGATGGAGAATTTCGACGACTGTCGACGTGAACGAAAATTCCGCGAAGGGTGTCGACTGGCCGCTCTTCCGACAGATCGCTGGATAGGAATTGCATTACCATCGCTGTACGACGTTAAAGTGCACTTTCCCTAACGACTTGCATCACGCACGATTTACCAACATCGACGCTAGACGTACCCTCGTGGAAATCAATCGTTCGCGAGTCTCTATCCCGACCGTTTTGTCACGGTGTCGAACCCGACCACGCTCGATAATCAATCGTTTATATAATAACCAGATTCCCTAAAAAATTGTCAACGTTTGTTCGATCGAGTTGTTGCCTTGCTGTCTTCTGAAATGCTCTGTATAATAGTTGTGTTACGATGTAGAGCAGAGAAGCCCCGTTCGCGATCCTACATCTGTCAAGGTGCTCCTCCGATCTAATTCGGTGAATCTGTGTCAAACCATCGATCATCCGTGCTCGTTATTTACTGCTAAATTTGTAGATTATCGTACTGGGAACTAGAATCGATTCGACAGGGGTGGGTGACCAGCGTCAGGTTCGATCCATCGAGGCTCGAGACGATGGCGAATTCGAACCTGGGGAGAAAATTAAAAGAAAATGTTTCCCTTTTTCCCCCTCTCTCTCGCGAAACCGGAATTGTTTGATTCGATTTATTCGAGGAGCGAGGTTAAACCAATAGTACGTTCGGATTTTACATTATGTAATGTTTGCAGCACGAACATCGTAACATCAATAAGAGCAAAGATCCTATAAAGTAATTATTTGCTAAAACCAACGAAATAATAGCGGAACAATTTGCTTCGAATCAGACCTCTCGGTCGATGACCCGCGTCGATATGCAAATGTATTCGTCGAAATCCATTTTTCGCCGAAACGAAATCGAATTATATCGTCGTATTTTGCAGATTGCACCGCTTCATCGAATTCTGTTGCATTCGGCGAACGACAGGACCGTCTCCAGCGTCTGTTGGCCCGTCATGGGCAAATCATTTTCAACGCGAATCGGACGTATTTCAATTTCAAAAGACGCGTTCGCCACGCTTTATGTAATAGGAACCGAAGCAGAAAGTTTCTCCGTCTCTAGTTTGTTCTTGGAAAGAAATTGCTTGTGCTACCTGGCAGGAGGAACGTTTTAAATAAGATCAGCATTCGATTAGCTGAGAATTTGTTGATTCCAGAATACAGTTTTCCGCATTGCTTTGGTCCAGCGGTTCGAAAATACGAACGGCCGGTCTTTCAAGGATTTTTGGCAGCTAAAGTAGGTTGAACAGTCCCCCATGGGACGGATTTGGCTAGCAAGCAGATTTCATAACGTCTCGAAGCGTGCACAGTAAATCACAAAAACTTTCCGCGTATTCTATCATTCGAAATTTCCCTCTCCGTAAAAGAACCGTCGTTCCTGAACTTTCCAACGAAAACTTTTGGAAAATCCACTCTGTATGTCGCGCGCAACGAACGCGGAAGATCGTCACAGAACGCGTTGCGTCGTTATTATCTTTTATCGAGCGTTTGCAGTGCGGGAAACTAGTGTCACAGTTTTCACGTATCTTTGAAATCGTCGTTAATCGATTTGTTCGAACGAGAATAAGTAAGAGAAGACTTTACTTTTCCGGTAGCCAGCGTTTCCGGCCCGATTAATATTTCGCGCAAAAGTCTATTTCCGGATCGAAGATTGCATTCGTAATTAATGGCGGAAACTTGATGGAACTTGTGAAAGTTTGAAGGGTCGTCTGGTTTTATTTTTACGGTTCCGAATTTAGCTCGGATTCCGAATATAATAGTTTGAATAGGAGGCGGAGAGTTCACCGAAGAACGGAGTGTCGAGGTTAATACGGTAGCAAGGCTGGCGTTTGTTTACGCGGTGCTCCTTTGAATCAGAAAACGCTCATCAAGTATTCATCTCCCGAATACGCCTTCTTTACCTTGGAATTAGACGCTAATGGGGGACACTTGTCGTACGCGTGTGGAGATATCGAACTGCACGTAGCGCGGTGAGAAGATACAGCGATCGGGAAAGAAATGGTCGTTGGCGTGTCGCGAAACTCGAGGATTGTCTCTGGAGCTCGGTTTGCTCGCTTTGTTCGCTCGGGGCGAGTTCGCGGGAACGGTCTCGCGGAAAACTGTGCACACGGCGAATGAAAGGCGCATTCTTCGCGTTTCTGGCCGCTTTGGGGCCACCGGGAAACGTTGAAGCGCCGCGTAAAAGCGCCGAGCCGAACCGGAGGCCGGGTTGGCTCAGTTTCGCGGCTCTTTTCACTTTTCACTGGCACCCGGGACCCCGTTTCGAGCCGACCGACTAAATTCTTCCGCGTTGCGCTTCCTTCGAACGCGATCCGCTCGATGAATAGTCTCCCGACCGATTTTACGATCAAGCGATCGCGTAACTAGCTTCCCGTGAAATTGAAATTTATATTGCATTGTCATCGTTCGTATTTAACGCGTTTCAAGTAGAAACAGTGGTTCGTGGTCAGACGATTGCTCGAGTACTGTAATTCTATTAAATCACGATTTACATTAATCATGATCGTCGATCGAGTATAACGATTGGCGAACGAACACGTACACGCGGGTTTCAGCAACACGTGCAGTAATCGTTGAACGTCGAGCGCAAGAAGTAATTTAACGAACAACGCGGCGCGTCGTTTCAATGTTCAATAGAGAATCGTGGAAATCCTCTGAATAAAGGTACGGACGAGGAGGAAACGGTGTTTCAGATGATCGTTGCACGGGGATTGCAATTCAATCGACTCGTTACAAATTCATCCGAATTAGGGATTGTTAACGATCGTGGAATCGTAATAGGAATAATGCGCAATTATGCGTATAATAGTGGTATTTATCGATGGATTCGAAACGCTTGCGACCGTTTCGGTACGCGCGATAGAAATTGTTAATTGCTCTCGAATGTATCGTTCGAAATTCATGGCTCTGCGAATCGCGTTAACGATCTCGGATTCGAACAACTTTCGGTATTGAATAAAAGAGAAACCGTATTTTAATACGGACGAGTAACGTTAGGATTCGAACGATGCGAGTTTAGAGTATTAAAATATGGTTTGGTTAATGGTTTCTCCAGGCGATAGGAGTAAGTAAATAAGTGAGAGTCCACGCACCGGTCTGGCCCTTTCCCAAGGTTTTCTCGAGCCTGTAAGGGCCGACATACTGATGGGTCTCCTGGGTGTTGGACCCGACGGGGCTCTCCTTGCCCTGCATCGCCGCCGAGACAGCTTCTTCCTGGTCCGCCAGGTTGCTAGATTGTCCTAGAAAAAGAGGCTCGTTTGGGTTGGTTCCAGCCGCCCCCAGCCGGTCGTTTCTTTCACCTCCGGTCCTCGGTGTCGTTCAGTTTCTCGGGGTCGTTTCGTTCTGGGAATCAGTCCGACGTGGGGTTTGGTCGTCGGTTCGCGGCAGGAGAATGGTGGTTTCGCGGCATCGCGAGGCGACCGGGAGGATGCCTCGGATACGCCCGTAGGAATCCAGCCGGAAACTGAGGCAACACTCGGGTCTGGCACATCCACGCACTGTGTCACTGACACGACCGTTCCTTGATCTTCCGCGGCTGTCTCTTGCGGATCCTTTTCATGGTGGTTCGTCGCACGGGGACGAGAAGGAAGCGAGAGGATCGCGAGGAGGGCCGCCTCGATGGAAAGAGAAGGACCGCGAGGAGGTGTCGGAGTCGGTGTCGGGAATCGGTTCGATCACGAGGCGAGACGACGGGCTCGGTTCGTACCATGGGGGTGGGCTCACGTGAACCTCGCGGTCGTCCAACCGCCCTCGAATCCGCTCGAAACCGAGCTACTCCTCGGCGAAGGAGCCGCGTTCGGCGCCATTGCGACTCCGGTGACTTCTGCCTCGACTTTCCGAAACGCTGCAGTGCACTCTCGCGCGCTCCTCCACCCTACGGGCTCTTCGACTCGTCTCTCCGGCACCCCGAGACTTTCTTTTCCCGATTACACCCGAAACCTGCCTTTTGCCCGTGTCTCCGCGACCTCGTGATTTTAAAAACTACCAAGCATCGAGACGACCGCCTCTGCTCCGCCACTACCTCCACCCTACGCACTCGCACTCATGCACCACCACCACCGATATGTCACTACGTCGGCCAAACCGACGTTCCTCGGTCAACCGGAGACTCTCGACGCGGAGTTTTCGGACCCGTTGCAGCCCCAGGCTTCGATCACCACCAATTTTCCTTTCTTTCCACGTTCGCGACCGATTATTTATCCCCCCCGTTTCGCTCGCTCGTTTTTCCTCAAAGATTCAGAGCCCTGTCGTTCGCGGATGACGGAGCTGACAACGAACCGCGGCGCTCCCAGTTCGATTACGTGTTACACGGCCCTCCACGGAGGGGGTAGGTTGCGCGCGCACCTCCACACCCGCCACCAACCCTATCGCGCCCCACTGGACGAACCAGTGCTAGCGATGGCTTTCCAACGGCCACCCGAACCACCGAATCGCTCGTACCTAACGATCCTATCTTTCCTCCTCTCGCTAATTTACACCTAGACCTTAAACATCGCCAACGAAAGCTTTACTTTATCGCGGATCCAACGGAATATTTCGTTTTTGATCCACCTTCCAAGGAACAGACAGAGTCGAGGTGGTCCAAGGATCGAACCCATCGCTGAAACCGAGGGAGGGTAGTAGACTGGCTCCCTTAGTTTATCGTATGTACTAGAGGTTAGGTCTGTTCTCGTCGGTACCAGGGTAGCTGTTCGTGGTTCGTGTCCGAGGTGAGAACAGGACCGTCAGCGAAAGATTTCCAGCTACGACTTGACCGAATAGAAATTTAAATTCTGAGGGGAACTATCGTTAATTGATCAAATTAGCGACTCGATCGCAAATTGGTCTCCATTTGTCCATTCCTAAATTTACGAAACTCGTAATACGTAAACGTACGTTATTTTATCAACGTTACCGTACCGAAAATCTAGCGTGAAACGGACGCGGAGGATACTAATTTTAACGCGTGAACTTGAGAGGGCAAACGATACACGGTAGGGCAGTGTCGAATATTACGATAGGAGCAAACTTACAGCGACGAGATAAATTATTCGTGGCGGAATCAGACAGGTTAAGTCAGTCAGTTTGACCGGTCGGATGCTGGTTAATCATTCAATGAATTAATTATTGAGAGACCATCGTCGTCCCTGCCCTTATGTACTGAAACTTTCAGTCGGGGCAGATTCCTGCACCCGTTATTCGACAAATTTCGGCCTCCAGATTGCTTTAAACCAAATTTATCGAACTCATCGATACGATAATTGATCGCGAATTTGTTACGGACACGAGATATAGAGTTACTGGTGTATGTTTATTAATTAGTCGTTATATACTGTATAGAAGAATCGAATGTTTCGAGGATCGGTCGAAATGGTTCGCGATCACAGAACATCGAACTCTCCGGTAACAGGAATCTATTAAACGATGTGAACTCCGTACGAACGAGGAGGGGGAGGAACAGAGAGAGACGAGAAGAGAAGCATTTAACAGAGGCACTTTTCTCGATGAGACGTGCGTATAAATATGCAAGGAAAATTACCCTGAGCGTTATGGCGCGAGGACACCTCGCGCAGAGGGGTACGAATGCAATATAGATCGGGCCTGGAGGGACGAGGAGGACGAAAGGCAGACGAAAAGAGAGAGACGACAGTCGGATGGCACAAAGAGGAGGGTGCAGGCCGAGGATCGATAGGTATATAGAGCCAGATAGGAACACAGGAAGCGTCTGACACCGGAAAGCTCCTAGGGGATGGCTTCTTACGAGCTAGTTGCGACCGATTTACGAATCCGACGTTTTTTCGACTCCCCTGTTGATATTTTTAAACCCTTCGCCATCCGCCGTGGCGCTTCCTCTTTCTATCGATTCGGTGATAAATTTCTTATCGATAACCGGGACGCTTTGGTCAAGATAAATAAAATAAAATCTATTTAAATCTAGAGACAAGGAAAATTAAGAGTACATCAAGTTAAAATGGGTAAAATTATTCTTTATTAGCGTATAGTGAATACATAATATCAGGCCAATATACATAAACCATAAGACATAACAGACATTCTTCTCTATTACAAATTTTTATAATAGTGGTCGATGATGGAATTAAGCTGGGAGGTGCTTGATTCTTCGCTGTCGTGTACAGCCACCAGACGGCTAAACAAATTCGAAGAGGCTGCAGATAAGATTAGCCGTCTCTGTCCTCGGCGAACAGCGATTTCAATGAGCGAAACTCCAAGAATGGTGTAAACACCGAGGCCAGTCGTGGGTCGGGCACCATCTCCTAGTGCCGGTGGATGTTCCTGATCCGCGTGTAGGGCCGCGTTCACGGTCTACGGGGGTGCATTGACCTTTAAACCCTGGAGATTTAATGACCGACGCGTTGCTGGCTCGATCGCGGCTTCTCGGCTCCGAGTTTCTCGCGTCGACGCGTTACGATTTACGCGCCAGCTAAACCGAGTCTTCGATAGACATTAGAAAAGCAACCCCCGAAGAAGAAAACGTTCTCTTGCACGAACGATCACGACGGGAACCTTCGCGATACCAAACCACTCTGGAGGCAATGACCACTTCCGATGGTCCTGTGTCTCTGTAAAAATGATTTCGCTTCTGCAAAAGAAGCAGATGATTTTTCTCGCGGTTGTGATCGACGCAACGTGTTGCACCGGGAGTGGAATACTCTGGAGCAGGTTCGGGTCTATCGAGCCGATGGAAGTTGCGCGGCTGGAACGAGTAAACAGTGTTCGAGGTTGGCACTTCGCCTGAGCCTATTCACTGCACCGCAGACGACGCGAGACGGCCCGTGCAAAACTCCCGGAGACCGGAAACCGGAAAACGGAAACCGAATGCAGTCTGAAGCGTCTTGCGGGACGGCAAGTCCCCTGGGAATTCGCATTGTTGAATGCCGCCGCGAAATCTACCGTTTAATATCGACCTGATCGTCGAATAACTCGTTCCAGCTGTTTATTTCCTTTGGCAGTCGTTGTTTAATTGATATTAACGGAACGATGAGTCTTGCAAGGAACAGAAATCGATTTGGTTCTCCGTTTTTGAACAAAAAATAACACCGTTGGAGCCGAGAAAACTTATCGATCCTCTTCGGAAAGAAACGTCTTTTCAATGTTCGCCTATCGGAACATCCGCAGTGCAGAAGAACGTTGACACGCTGATAGAACGACATAACTATAAATAATAATTCTGAAATTAGAACAGCAAAACTTTTATCACGTTCGAGCGTATCTGCCGATGGAAAGAGTTTGAATAGAAATGTCTTCGGGAGTATAATTTGATCCGCGAGCGGAAGGTAGGAGGAATTTCTAGGGGTTTGGAAGTTTTTTCATTTGAACGGTGCACGGGCGTATTGCGTAAGAGCAGTTGCGGCCGTATTTTATGACTCAGACCGTCCAAGTTCATGCGAAACTTTTTTAAGCGGGGGTGGTAATACGTAAAAGGGAGGCGTGAAGTGTTAACACAGGGCAGAACAGCAGCAGACACTCGACGCACCCTTCGTCCTATCCTCTGGGCTACCTTCTTTTTTTCATTTTCGCCTCCCTCTTCCGCCTCCGTTTTCTTCGACCTCTTTGACGGTTCGTTCTCATCGGCGTTTTTGCTTGTTCATTCGTTTCTCCCCGGTCTCGAACCGACGTTACTTAACAAATTTTCCTTGATATTTCTTTTCTTGGGGGGGCAAACGACGTTTTTGTCAAAGCTCGAGCTTCCTTTCCTCGAAGACGCTTTTGCCCCAGAAAGCAGCGCGCGTCTAGACGTCTGCGAAAATATCGTGCGATAATTTTAAACGAGGAAAATTAAAAATACACGCGGAGGGTGTGGAACGTGACTCTTGCCACGATTTTCCAGCGAAACGTATGAAAAGTTTTCGGGAAACGTTGGTGGTTTTAAGACGGAATTGACCGTGCATCGACAGTCGCAACAGACGGGGGTGGCATTATAGTGGCGCATGGCGGAGGGATGTTTGCGACAATGCGAGATAGAAGAACGAGAGGCGAGGCTGACGTTGGAACACGGCTAGAGTACGGCTCGTGTGTTCGTAGTTTGATTTATGCAGCTGTAAATGCGATCTCTATTAAATGTGTATTCCGTACATGGACCCCGGAGCGTGGTAAATCACGAGGGTCTGCTGGGCTGTTCCCGCGGGGCACGATACAACCGCGGTTTCCTTTAACTACACGAACTTCGTCACGGTGTATCGCTACCGCGGGTTTATAAATAAATTACCACCGTGATTCCATTTAGAATAACGGTGATCGTAGAATCGCTCGCGAATTAAACAGCCGCTGATCGAATTAGGGGTTGCGGGCACGGCCCAACGAAAGTAAGTAAAAGTAAAAATTGGAACGTTGAATCCCGCGGTCTTCAAATTAAAAAGTAAAGTTCTCACTTTCCCCTCTCGACGAATTTCTTTAGCAGAGAATAAGGGAGTTTGGCAGAAGAAAAATGTCCGCCGCCTCGTTCGCGATGATTGAATCGAAATTGAACGGTTTCGCGACGGTAACGACCACCGAATACGGCCGCAATTACGCTCGTTTTGTAATAACTCGATAATTAGAGGCGTGCGAGCGTAACAAGCGACGAACGTACGGTAGAAAAACACGAGGCACTCGAGATGAAAGTAATTTAGTACGTTCTACATTCCGGTGTCTCGCATCTGCGACCCCCGAAACCCACCCCTTCTTCTCTTCCTCCCTCGGTTCGTCCGTTTTGCTCGTTCGCGTCGCGCCTCTTGCCAAGAAACAAACGTACCGAGTGGCCAGAACCTGCGAACGAATTGCAAAAATTGCTGTCGAGGCCTTTCCTTGTAATTTCTGTTTATCCAATACCGGTACCGCTGAATCCTGGCCGGGTTCCTTTTAATCGCTTGGCGAACGGTGATGCATCTCGAATAATCTGCAACGTTACGACATCGGTCTTCTACTTAATTACATTGGCGACGTTAACGTTATTTATTTATTAAAGGATTTGCACATAATACGGTTGCGTAATACGTGTAAAACTCTCATTAATTGCGTATGTTACGAGATACAGTGAAATGATCACAGATCTCTAACCACGCATTATATTTACCGAAAAGAATTCTTTTTTCGAAGATTATTCATCAATCATTCTCCACCAAAATACGCGTAATTTGCTTTTTGAAATGAAATTTCGGGGAACCATTTCTGGCCTCACATTCGATTTTCGGTAAGGAATT